GTCACGGTTGAGCCGCTGGGGCTTAAACCCGCCGCTCAGCCTGCTGCCTTGCGCCTGGCAGCGGGCGAGTCGGTCCCGCACTCAAACCTCGCTCTCGTCATGGCGCTGCGAAGCGTTCAGCGGGTGCGTGCGTGCGCGAGGCGGACACACGCACTTGGATGGCAGCGGCCCGTCAAAGCCCGGAAACGAGGTGATCTCGCCGTGGCTTGGGGTGAACTTGCTGCCCGGTCGCATCGACTTGACGTGCTGAGATCCTAGTGCCACGCACAGCAGCGGCGCACACCCCAGCAGCATCGCCGTTGCTAACAGCAGCATCTTGCCAATGACTCCTGGCATGATGGCGATCGGCGCAATTGACAATATACCACTTTCACGGCGCCTACTGTGGTAAAAGCGCACACGGACGGTGCGGTGACACCCAGATCGCGCGCGGCCGGCCCACTATAAGGCGCGGCCTTGTGAGTAAGTAATTGCAACGTATGCAGTCCTACTTTGTGTTGCGCAAGGTGCCAACGACATAGTTCATACGAGTCCATTTGCGACATCCTTTGGTCACATGCAGCAGCAGGTTGGAATCTGTAGCCTGCTGATCAGCCGCACGACAGGCCTCGCACTGGCCCTCGCACACGCAGTGCTGTATGCTAGAATTAGGCAATGTGTGAGCTGTATCTACCAGCATGGTGGGTTCACGGCACAATGTGTGTCATCTGCTACCGGGCTGAGCCTGATCTTGCTGTTTTTGCAAGCATGGCGTTGACTGGCTGCAACACGCGCCATTTCATCGCTTTTTCAAGGAAAGCGCTGGAGTACATTGCTCCGGGAGTGAGCAGAGTGTTGCAAGCCGACCAGTGTCACTTCTTACACGGCAACCATCAGCATGGTTGCTGTTGCGTGGCAGTCCCAACGTCTTAACCTGGACAAAGCATGGGTTGTCAGCACAAAGTGAAATACACATCCATTGCCCAGACGGCTCAGCATCCCCAACATGTCAGCGGCAGCTGCGGAGCAGCTCCTCTGAAGATCCCAGTGGCCGCGACCACGGCAGGGGTTCCTGTAGGACGGCGACCAGGTGAGGGCCTGCCAGCAACGCCAAGTCCGTCGTGGTGACACCACAAAGGAAGGCTGAATCAGAGAGGCTGGCGGCAGAACACCGCCGATGCCAAGATGGGGGGCGGCGCAGCAGGCACAGCCCCAAGAGTAGCGGCGGCGTTGTGGTGGCACGTAGCAGAGCACTGGTACCCCAGGCGTGAGCTCGCGCACAGATTTGTCAAGGATGTTAGAAAAGAGCATACACCAACGCTACTCTGCTGCCCAGCAGGCAGGCGCGAGTCCCTCACCTGTTACATTGGCCATGTTGATGGGGCTGCAGCACCGCGCTGCGAGTGGCAGGTGAGGGCCTTCTTGTGGCAAATGACAAAGGGCTCCTGAAGATTTGGTCAAAAGAACATAATCCGCACAATCGGCGACGGCACACTGCCTGGGGTTGGGGCGGCAAGAGGGGTGTCGCCGGAGCAGCAGGTTTGGCCAACAGCAGCGGAGGGCTGCAGGCCGACGTGTTGCTGGTCCGGCAGCGATCTTGCCTCCGTTTCATACCCCGCCCCCCGTAGAAGGTTGAGGAGGGCAGGGTTCAGAGCGGGGCGTGAGAATGACATGCAGCTGGGTGCAGCACAACTTTGCCAGGGCACACCGCAATGTGGTTTCGATGCCGCCGCTGGACTGTAGCAGGTTGCGAGAGCGCACGGCGCGGCTCACTGGGGCCACATTGTGCCATCACCCCACCAGCCTTCCAAAAGACACCAATTTGCTTTGAATAAGCCATCAGGGGGCTCTGTCGCTGCACGGCGCCACTCCGAACTGCCACGTCGCTTTGTGCGCTCGCTGTGCATATGCAGTCGTCTTGGGGTGCCGCAGGCTGCGAGCTGAGCACGCAGGCGGCCGCCCCAGGATTTGAATTGCGGTTTTTCCACCGGGACACACCGGGTGCAGCCTACATGGCAAGGACAAAGATCTCCGCCCGCTGATCTCCGCCCGCAAAGTTGGCTTGAAGGAGCTCGCTTGTAGGTCACGACACGTACCCAAATCCAGCTACGCGTACCCTTATTCAGCTTTCCAGGGCCTACCGTCTCTGCTTCTGCTGATTGTCACCAGCGAATCCGGACTGGCGTATAACACTGATTGCAGGCAGGTGTGTGTTTAGCGGTCTCGTGATGTTTGGATTTTGGGCACAAAACGTTCAGCAACACCATCTGTTGACAAGTGTTACAGTTGTGTGGTTGGTTGGGGGGTTCCAGTTGGGGGCACAGAGGGCGCGTGTGCCATGCATGCGTGGGTGCGTCGGTGCAGCCATTGAGCCAACATGCCCTGGCACCATCATGAACCTTGGCAAAGCGTAGGTTGCTGCTGCCGCAGGTGTGCGAATGCACCCGACCGCCGGCCTGACGACCAACAAGCCAGTCCGCACCCAGCCCCACTTGCAGAATAAGGATAACAATCATCACGAGTGCGGTGGCCCGCTACTTCAGCTTTTTTGAGCACCACTTTTCTGAGCACCACAACAACCACGCACTGCCAGCCAAGAACAGATGATACCGCATGGGGGCTGGTGATGATGAGCGCTGTGTGTGTTACCGTGGTGGTGGCGGCCTTTCAGGTGATCGCATGCATCAGTGCTGCCAGCAAGCGAGGTAGTGAGTCCTACGGGCCTTCAATACATCACAACAACCAATAAAGGAAAGAAGCACGCATAGGCCTGAGAACATAAGGTCATCACGTGCGTTGTAAGTAGCGTCCGGAGGGGGGTCAGGAATGGGCTAGCATCAATGAGGTTGTGCAGGCAGGCGCAGCCGCCATAGCACAATAATGCATCTCGTCGTCCCAGGCCGTGAGCGCGCGTTGCAGCGCGATATCTGGCCGCTCCCTTACCTGGGGACAGGAGGAAATGGCCGCCAGCTTACGCAGCCCATTCCTGGACATAACATAAGCTACAATAGTCATTCCAGCCATTGTGTGACCTAGGCGTGGCCGGGACCAGTTGTTGTTTTAACGAATGAGTCCCCAACCCAAGTCATTCACTTGCTTATCCTGAAAAAGTGAGAGGACAACCATTTGCCAGAGTCCTTGACAGCGCGGGTCCGCTGGGGGTCTCCAAAGTCCACCGCCACGATGCCGAACCGCTCAGAATAACCCATGCGCCACTGGTGTGGGGGTGAGCCGGGGCGGGGCAGGGC